GAACCTGTTAAGACAAGCAAGATCAAGCAGGTTCTTATATGTACGTGGGTTACAGTTAAATTATGATAAATATTTTTAGCCTATAGGATTGTGACTTTGACATTGCAAATTTACAATACAAGAAAATACATAACACAATTGTGAATAAATAGTGTATATTCAAGGACCAAACGGTTTGAAACTCAGGGTTTTTTTTTCTTTCTACTTATCGTCTCATATATCTCCTTCTTGGAAATGTTAAAGAATCTAATTAAGAACCTACTTAGGCTAAATTGCCAATAACTACACCAAAATACAAGAACCTATTTTGCCAGGCTTCAAAAAATGTAGGTTATTACACGCGAGTTTTTACCGTACCGGTTATTTACGTAGGGTAACCTTATACACTTCAGCAAGAAGCATGGAATGGACGGTCCACATTCATGCACACATTCAGTTTACATCCATTCAACATGTTCATTTCCTGTCACTGATATATGATTTATCAGTTTGTTTTTGTCGATGAAGGATGTTGTCTCTTTCTAACAATAAATGCCTCGTTAATGGTCGTTTAGTTAGTATGTGAGTTGCAATCTTTGGACGTTTTACCCTTGTTTTCCCTAAACGCGGTCGGTCGAAAGAAGTCTTACGACCCCATGCATCTCGTATGGATGAAGTACCTCGGCCGAGGTCAATCTGAAACGTTTTTTATTTTTCTATTTTTTTAATTTTTTTTTTTAATTTTTATTTTTTTATTATTTATTTTTTTTGTGCGTGTGTAAGGTTTGCGTGGTGAAATCATTTGTAAATTAAACCGAACACCACGCAATCACTGACTCACCCCAGTCAGTCGTCTTCTTACATTAGGGTGCTTTAGCAAACCACCAAGACGACGGCAACGGGAACGTCGCTTAAAAAAATGGTTTAAGGTGGTTCGTCAGAATTGCATTGCACATCCCTACTGCGCACGATTTTCGCGTCATTAGCGCGCGGACATACACAACACATACAAAATGGTGGCTTTTTCTAAGCGGCTTGGCTTGTGAGAGACAAATTATCCTTTTTTCCTCGGAAACGAGTACCGGGACCTGACGATTTTTTTTTATATTTAGGTTGAATGCAGAGATCACCTTATTCTATACAGTGAATATGGACCAATTTCTATTGCAGAGTAAAAAATTATCACGGAAAATAAGAGCATAGCTAACACTCGTAAAAGATATTATTATATGGAGAAGAGTGTTTTACTGGGAACTAAACCACTCGTAGATTCCATACGCCACTTCATC